TATTTCATCATACAGAGAAAAATATTCTTGAAGTTTAAAAATATTAAAAAGAGCGTCGTCTTTGCAATAAGCAATAAAAATTATAAAATCAATCATTTTCTTTTTCATAACTGATCAGTACGATGATGATGTGGTGATGATGGCCACATGATGGTACATAAAAAAACTTTATACTAGAATAGCTAGGATTAAAAAATGATAATCTCATTTCATCTTTCACTAATGGGTAATGACTACATAGTGAGTATTGTAGAGAAATGGAGGAGCTTTGTTTTACAAGTGTTTCATTCATGTTGCTAGGGCACGTTGTCGATCACGAGTAAGGCTTTAATACAGCATCCTCTACTTAGCCCCGCACCAAATTTATTTCTTTGGTCTAAGCATTTGCATTAGGGGGTGGGTCATGGGCCTGTGCAATGTGTATTCCACTTCTCGTGCTTTCCACTTTTGGATTATGTTTTAGTCAGGATGTTCTTTTCTAGTGTTTGTGGAAGTTTGTACATCTTTTGTTGCCTCATTTTGAATATTTGTTGGCTACCTCAGTGACCTTGGTTGCTATCTCTTTTGGCAGACATCATTGGAGCTTGATTATTATTTGTATACCAAACAAAGAAGATGAATCAGGTCCAATCATTCTTCATTTGGATTCTTTAGGGCTTCACTCCAGCAAATCAATTATACAGGACATAAAGAGGTTAGTGGACCTCAGTTTATGCAATTTGAATTCTATCCTAGGTTCATCAACAGTTACGTTAAAAGCCTCATAATCAAATATAATGCGGTGTATGACTTGCCAAAAACTTATGTTAGATATACTCTTTTAATTTTCTAGGTAAAACATGCTAAATAAGCATATTGCGTAATAGCTGTTTCTAGTAAAACCTTTAGCCTTTTTATTTTATTCCTGTCAAACCATGCCTTTACAACAACAACAACAACATACCCAGTATATTCCCAACAGGTTGGGGTCTGGGGGGTCAGTTGTACGCAGACCTTACCCTTGTAATTATACAAGGAGGCTGTTTCCGTAGCGACCCAATGTGCATTGTGCCGTTTGATATATATATATATTTTTCTAGAAACTTCACTAAATTGAAGAAGCACTAGAATTTAATTGAGCCATTTTGATCTACTCCATTATTAGCACTATGTCAAACCATGCCTTTCTTGAAGTAATTTTGGTTAAGGAAGCAGTCTAGTTACTGGTTAGTGTTTTGATGTTGTGCTTCTGCCAGGCACCGCGGTTTCCATTTAGTTTTGAAATTACCTATGAAAGCGGGATTGTTTTTGGGAGTATATGTACTGGTCAATCAGATACATTCTATTACCATATGACTTAAACTGTTTCATGTCCTAGATAATTCGATTCTATGAAATTTGGACTTAGTCTAGAATCTAGATGGTGCCTCAATTGGTATGAATGGTCTGACAAGCGTTGTGTTCCTCAGTATCCTTTGGTTGTTTCTGAATGTGCTTCAACAAAATCTATTTGATGACTCTCATGTTGCTCTAGGGAAAGGTCTTTGAGAAGTGAAATTTGATTTGATGTATGATGTACCGGAAAATGGGTGCATAGGAATTTACATTGGAGAATGCGTTTTGTTGGTTTTTGTTTTGGTGAAAGAACTGGGAAGAGTGTTTCTTTAGTGGAAGAAAATCACAGTGTAAGAGCTTAAGCTTTTATAAGGGGTGTTCACAATTGTTTGGTTAAATTGTAGAATTCTCTTGAAATAATGGTACTTTATAAATTGAGAGTTTTAATTGGGATTGCTCACAAGAGTTGCTTGTTATTTTACACGGAGAAAAAACTTGTATGAGGAACTGTCATTGACAAGTCATCAACATTGATTTGAGGTTTTGCAATTAAGTTTAACTATTTTGGCCTAGATTTAAACTAAGCTATTACAGCACGGTTTAGTTTTTAGCTCGACAAGCACAGTTGTCTGCTTCGGCTCATTCGAGAGACTTGAATTTGGAATCGGACCTTATCAGTTTTTGCCAACTCCGTGGCATGAGTTTAATTGTATTTTGTGTGAGTTTCATCAACTGAAATCAATTATGTAAAAAGTTCAAGTAGCATTGGCATTGTGGTTCATGCCAATTCTTGGGATCACATAAATGCCCTTTCACTATTTATATATTCGTTTATTCAACTATCTTACGAATTACTGTACATAAGTCAAATTGGCCACTGAAACTTGGGTAAATGGATTACATGACATAGGCTTCAGGAGGGGGAGGGGGGCGATATTAGGAAACAGGAAGACAAATTTCATTTTTAAAGTTACAAGATAATTTTTCCACCCTTTTTCTTAAATACGAGAGGATGAATTGCCATAATTTACAATACAGGAGTGTTCCATCTAATTATTCAGATAACAGTTTTTTTGTTGTGCAGTTACTGATCGACTTTTTGCCCAACGCATCAATGTCATGTCATTATAATTAATTTGGATTGTTGATTTTTTTTCATTTCTTCCTCTGTTACATGCTGTATTTAATTAATACACGTCATATAATAGTTTCATTTACTTTTATCGTTGCATGGACACATTTTGCTGCAGCTTTCTAGTCGAAGAATGGAAATTTCTATGTCAAGAAGAAGTGCTGCCTGAACTTCCTATACCAGACAATATTTGGGATAATTTACCTAGAAGAATTGATGAGAAAGTAATTGAGGTATAGCTCTGTGCTCCCTAGAAAAGAAGTTTTACGTCTGACGAATATTATTACATCATATAACCAAGAAGATATGTCTTGATGTAGTCATCTTAGTACTCACCTGCTTGATATTTCATCAATTACTCATATTTCTGGAATAAAACAAGGCTGGTATGCTCCACGCTTTAACATCTGATATTCGTCGATATATTTTAGCTTATAGATTATCGAATCGTACTCAAAGGATATTCAACTGCTAGTCGAAGAATTTCATATCCATTTTTTAAAATAAACATTGCCATTTATTAACTGTTGAAATGCCTCAAGTTCCTCCTCTAACGTTGTGCCCCGACTGTGGACCCACCCCCCATTAAGATGGCTCCTTGATAAAGAGCTTTACAAGTGAATAAAAAATGGCAAGTTTTGAAAGGATCAGAAGGGTGCTGGTTCTCATATGTTATGCCATGGTTTTCGGACAGTTGCATAAAAAGGAAAAAAAATGTCGTGCTTTCACAATTTATCGGTTTTATCTTCATTTCAGTAAGTTACTTTTCATGGATTGAATATTTTCACTAGAAAGCAGAAACTTAGGGCGTGCTTGGATACAAATATATCCGCTCAAAACATGTTTTTTTTGTTAACCATAGTTGATTTTGAAAAACGTGGTATGGTTAGTTGTTAGTGGGATTTTGAGTTTATATTAAAATAACATTTAATATAAAAATTCGATGTAAAAGTAGGAGAGAGAAGATATGAAATGATGGTTTGTTAAAAGTATGTGAGTGGATGAATAATGAATTAACGTTGATATGATGTGTAAGAATGATTGATTAATATTTAGTTATTGAGGATAGTGGGGTTGAGTTAAACTTGAGTTAAATTTTGAGTATGGATTGAGTATAGATTGGCTTATTTTATATACAAACACACCCTTAATGATTTTGGTTACATCATCCCAATTTTCCAAGCCTTTATCAGTTCGTCAGTAGCTCCGCTCTCGGCTTCTATTTGGTCATAGAACCCCATCTTGTTTCACAGCTTAGTAAAAGAGAAAGGATCGACTGAATAATAATGATCTATGGCAGAAGAGAAAGATTAGGAAACTTAAGTCTTACAGTTTTATAATATAGCTAGCGCTCTGTTCAACCAAATTTTTTTTACTTCTTTCCCTCAACATTTTTGCCCAATTGCCTAATGTACTGGATGGTATGGCTCATGTCATCATTTAGAATAGTTCGCATAATGATCTGGGCAGTATGCTTTATTTCACTTGCATTTGAGTCAGGTTTTATTCGGTACTATTTTCTGATACCGGAAGACTCGGCTGAAGGTGTTAGTTATTTCACAACAGGAAAACATACCATGCTGTCATGCACAGTTATATGTCATAATTGCTACTCGAACTTGATTGTTTTGCAGCGACTCTTCACAGGCTCATTTTTCTTCTCTTTTCTGTTTTTTCACGAAACAGGTGCCCCAGCAAAGAAATGAGTATGATTGTGGTATCTTTGTTCTTTTCTTTATGGAACGCTTCCTTGAAGATGCCCCTGAAAGACTGAAGAAGAAGGACTTGGACATGGTACTTATTTATGCTCCAGTTATTTCTGAAATATCTCCTATAATTTCCTCTTCTATTTTCGTTGTCCCTTTTTTATTCGGTTCATTATTCTGTTCCTTAGTTTGGCAAGCAATGGTTTAAACCAGAGGAGGCTTCCAGTTTGAGAAGAAAGATTAGGAATATACTGAAAGAAGAGTTTTTGAGTGCAAATGGAGGAGACACGTGTAAATTGGATTGACAATCCCCGCTGTAAATAAGATCACTAATCGTACAATTGCAAGAGAATTATTCAATGGAACTGCTAACAGCTAAACTAGTAGAGTTGGTGTGCTTTTGCTGCGGAATTTCACAGTGAAATATTCGTTTGTCGAGTTCTTTTTTTTTTTCCCTTATTTGCAGACTTGATTATGCCTTTGACCTATGAAGTATTTGAAACAGCCTTCTGTATAGGATGGACTTTTTTGGTGTCCCGTAATGGAGAACCGGGGCTGTGAACATTTTGAAATCATGTCTTTAGTTTCAACATCTATCTGAAGGAAATCGATTATGGTGTATATGAGGTCGAAGACTGTAAAGATCAGCCTTCTATTTATTTTTGGTTACCATTTTCCTCAAAACATTAGAATTTGATCTTCAGTGGTCTATGTGGTCAGAGGCAATAAAATTCCTTGCATTTGTACTGTATCTCTCATATCAGTTGATAGAGAATCTTATGTTTAAATGTAATTAGATGGGCCAAAACTTTTAGTGAGAACCTTTCTGTTTTCTCCATTTATGATGCGTTTTAGCCCTTTCATTTTATTTTAATTGCTCGATTTGTACTGGCTCCTGGTTGGAAATTCAAGTTCTCAAGCTATGCTCGAGTTTTTGAGTGTGTTTTAGAAATGATAAATGAGGGGTGAGCATCAACAACTCAGTTGGTAAACCATACCTAAAGTCATCAAATGTGGTCGTGTGACTCCAATGCACCCAATCCGGTGGCCCGTCCGTCCATAAATAAGTGTTTGCCCAAAGGCCCTGTGACATGCTCATACAACCATAACAATATCGTGCGATTAACAAAAAATAAGAACGTAGTATAAATATCCCCATCTTCAATTGTTTAATGCCAGAAAAATAAATGAACGTCGATGATCGTCTCACGAACTCGCTTCATGTAATCTACATGAAAAATTATTTTAAAATAAATAATTACATTATACTCAATTTATAAATAAAATATAACTTTTGAATTTAATCTGATTAATTAAAATTTAAGGCTCGGCTAAGGTTAAAGAAGAAATTGTGCGACGACCCGTTATCCACCAATACCACGATGCGCCGGTCTCAGACCCATGCAGGTAACCGCATAGTTTTTGGCCCCTTAGTCCCGGCCATGTCATGGACTAAAATCTCCAAATCCTCATTATGTATTTCAGTCTCAAAGTGTGGTTCCTCCTCCATAAGTTCCTCGTCCAAATCTACCAACTCGAATTAAGTGCTTGCTTGCATCGGTGGCCTGGTGTAAACTTCTCATCGCCGTTAAAACAAAGACCCTTCTCACATCGACGCTTCATCTCCTCGTAGGTAATTTTTCTTACTCCCGAAGGTGTAGGTCAAGGATTACCTGATGAAACCGCTCTCACGCCCCAATTGACGGGAGGCACGATCGGTACAACCAGGCGCGGCTCGACGATGCCCGCGCCCGACTCTACGAACAGCGTTCAGGTGGTCCTTCCTCATACGCACGGCTTCCATGGCATGCTGCATCAACCTACGTTTCTCCAGTCGGACCTCGGCAGCAAGGTCAAGCTTCAGTTCTCCAACAAATGCCCCGACTAGCGCACCCTCCGACCAGTCGCGCACGCGGCTTGCTAGGCGCTCGAACTCCTTTTGATAATCATGCATGCTACCAGCCTGATGTACACGAGACAAAGCCTCATCATAGTCGTAACAATCTGACGACCAAACCTTGTGATCAGCTCCCACTCAAATCGACCCATCGGATTGCCTCGTCTCGCTTGCAGTAGACGTGCAAGATCGACTGCCACCCTACATTAGCCTCCCCATCAAGGTAGTACGCGGCTTACTTCACCCTGTCCGCCATAGGATTGTCATTAAAGTTGAAATATTGCGTAGCCCGACTCAACCATGCATCGGGATCTTTCCCGTCAATGGTGGACATGACCAACTGAGTTTTTCGACCAGCAGCCTCTTCCAGTTGCGATCGATTATCAGTCTCGCCTTTCTCATCCTCTGAATGTGCCGACTCCCTGGTGGTCGATCGGGACCTGTCTCTCTCCCGTGGTCATTGATCTTGCCGATTCAATTTCTAGTTCATAGCGTGACATCTGTTCAAAAAGTCGAGCCATGGCTTCATTGTGATGTTGTTACCCCTCGTCTATGCGTGATTCCAGACGAGATTTTCCCTCTCTTAAGCCTCCAATTCTGTCATCCAAACTCCCAAACCTCTCGTCTACGGCATCAAATCTCTTCCGATTGGTCATGATGAACTAACTAATTTTTTCTTAAAAAAAAAAAAGAACAGGAAAAATTAAAGAAGATGATGGTGATTCACGATCAGTACTCTTAATCAGTGGCGGACGGACATGTAGCCCAAAACTTTTTTTTACCTTAGTATATTTATAATACTAGTAAAGTGCACGTGCGATGCATGGCGAATGTTTTTTCCCAATTAAGTTTAGTAAAATAAATAAATTAATTTATTAAAAATATCGTTGCAAGAATGAAATAAAACGTAGAACAAATGAGCTCATAATGTAATCGTTTTTTACCGATTAAGTTTTATAAAATAAATAAATTTATTAAATATATCCTTGCAAGAGTGAAACAAAATGTAGAACAAATTAATGAAACAAAATATAGAAACAAATTATTTTTTCTAAAATAACGTAACGATGTCCTAATATAAAAATATTTAAATAACATATTACAACCCCAACAAAAACACTAATAACTAAATAATGACATGCATTGGTATTTTTATTTGTTTATGTTAGATGATTCGATAACGTTCTCTTTCATTTTGGTTTTGACGTCCTCATAAGAAGCATTATTGATTCAATAGTATTGCAAAATTCATCTTAATTCATTTGGCAAAACGTCTACTTTATTCAAACACTTAAGAAATATTTTAACCAAACTTATAGTGAAACTTCATGGTTGTATTATCTTTATATTTTTATTAACCATGCATGAATATATCTGCAAAATAATAAATCGTGTCATTAAAATTGTTGATTATTTTTTATCATTGTATAAACTATTAAATTACTCTCTCTATATATATAGACAAATTATTGATACCTACCCCATGGATGTATCTCCCTACGGAAGGGAATGAATTTCATCTCTAAATAAAAGTTGACTATTCAAAATATCTATTACATGTACTTTTCCCGAGGTTTTTTTTTTAAATCATCACACATTAACTAAAAGTTCATACTATAAAATAATTGCACATATGTTCAAGCACAATACACCAATGAAATTATAAATATTCCTATAAGAAGTGTCAACTTCATTCAAACATTCAAAAATGTTTTGATCAGGCTCCAACGTTTCATTTTCAATGTCATTTATTTGGAAGATAGACGAACTATATAATCTATTGTTTGCAAATCATTGACCATCTAGTTCTTGCAATGATTTTAGAATTATTTATCTTCATATCTTTCACATTCGTTTGGATTTGTAATATTTATGTGTCCAATAACTTTTTAATGCTTTTATCGTCCAACTTTATGCATCATACATAATACTCAAAAAAAGTCGAGATAAAGTTCCTTTCTTGATTCTTCACCAATGACAAAATCAAACAAAACAAAACAATGAGACAACATTGAGAGACATATCATTTGTTAAAATATTTGAGATGAGAAGAATTAAAATTCTATTTTATGACTCTTAGTCATCTTTGAACGTTATTATTACGAAATCATTATTAAAATCTACATTATGTATTATAAAGTTTTAAATTTTTAATTATTTAAAATTAAAAATTGATAATATAGGATCATTATTTATTAGATCCAATTTCTTACAGAGTCCATATATTTAAACGCTAGCAACAAATAAAGTATTATTTTTAAAAGATTTTTTGTTTCTAAATATTGGTATTCATACTTGTCTAAGAAAATTCAGACTCTTTCTTTTTTCAATTTCATTACTATTATTTTATTAGTTTTTATTTCTATTGATAAATAATACTTTATTTATTAAACAAATTCTAGCACATTTATATGTATTGTATCATTTTTTGTACGTGTTTCATATAATGACGTTGTTATCAAAATATCTTATTTATTATACAACAACTAATATAATCACATAAGATAAAATAAAATATAATATTACTTATTTATATATTTATAATAATAATATATTTAATAAAAAAATATACTTTTATACTGATTATTATATTAAAAGGTTTAGAAATTTTTCCCAATGTTTGAGAAAAATATTAAGCAACTAACTCATTTTCATACTCATTGAATTTATGTGTTAGTTGAATAAAATTTCACATACAACTCGTTTATTTCTCCTTTTAATTCACATAGTTAATATTAGTGATAGTTGTATATTTACATCCATTTTTTGTTTTTTCTTAGTATGAATTTTTGGATCTATGTAAGAAAAATATGCCACAAGGAATCTAATTCTAGCAAAAATATTTTATTGGAATCATGAGCAGATCTATGTTTATTTTATAGATCCGACACAACCCTCCATCCTAAAGCATATAGCGTAAGGAATCTAATAAAAATTTGTGGGAACATTTTTTCATAATTTTTATCATGTCCCCTATTTTAAAAATGAAATTGAAAGAAAGAAAGATACATATTGAATTAATTCACAACTCAAACAATTATAATTTAATTCAACTCATAACTTTATTAATGTTATAACATAAACGCGGCATCACAACTAAAGAAAATATAATATATCTCAAAATTACAATTTTATCCTCTAATTATATTATTTCAATCTTGAAGACAGTTTCAAATCTCTCTTTTGTAACATATTTTTTTCTATATCTTCAAAATATATTTTTTATGTCTTTTATAACTAATGCAAGGGGAATTCTAGTTAATATATTCGTAATTTATAAATTAATAAATTATATTGCCGAGTCAGCTATGCTACAACATAGATTTTTTGTTTATAATTTTTTTTAAAAAAAATATTATTTTCAATGATTTTCTTATTTTGAATTGAGAAAAATCGTCATTTTTTTTATTAAATACTTTTTAACTTATTGTGACTGTACTGATGTGTTAGAATGTATTACAAGTTAGAAACATGACAAATTATGTAAAGTATAATTTATAAATTGTAATGGCATTATGTTATTTTGATGGTATACTTTTTCTATTAACTATATAGTGCCAAATATAAAATTATTTTAGATCCGCCACTGCAATTAGTTTTCCAATGGAACTTCTATTAATTTTTTTCAATTTCAATGACAGTTTTTTTAACGGTTGAAATACGATCCATAAAAAAATTAAACAGAGATTCAAACAATAATAAATTATAGTAATTGGAATGATTTAATTGACAAAATTTTCAATGTAATTTAATTTGTTCTCTGTTGGAATAGTTAATGAAATTTTCCAATAAAAGCTTTACCAATGAAATATCCATTGGAATTTTCTTTGGAATATCTTACAAATGCATTTTCCATTGCAATATACCAATTTTTTTTTGTATTCCTTCTTAAATATTATATTTTAGGTAGTAGTTATTGAGTAACTGTGTTTACAATTTTTCTAATAACATACATTAAACGCATGA